GTATCTGTTCATCTTATATGTATGCATTGTATGAAATCCTTTCGTAAAGGCAAAATAAGAAACGATAGTAATGTTGAGAATAATGACAATAGTGATAACAATGATGGTAATGATAATAATAATCATAAGTTATAATGATAGCAATAATTATGATTATGATAATATATATATATACATACATATATTATATATATATATATATATATATATATAATATATATGTATATATATATATTATCATAATCATAATTATTGCTATCATTATAACTTATGATTATTATTATTATTATTATTATTATTATTATATATATATATATATATATATATATATATATATATATATATATATATATATATATATATATATATCCTTGGAGTGAAAGTCAAAGAAAAGAAAAAGAAAAAAAATGTTACATCCAAAATAAATCTATTAGGTAAAGAAAAAGAAAAATCGTACCTAACGAAAATCATGATAATGATACAGTGACAGCCACCAACAACCCAAGTATTTTGTATAGAGGAAAACAGTCTGCGCTTTTGATACTAAGCTATTTCTTCTATTGACTTAATTCTTTACCGTATTGTTCCACTGTATGTAAGCAAACCTGCTTCAAACAAACACATCACCAACTGAATCAGTAAAATCATCCCTTTCATTTCAGCAACTAGACGTTCAGACAAACAGTATAATCGGACATAAATTCACCTTCAGCTGCATTTGATAAAGAAAGAAGGTGTTTTTGTATTTTACGTGATAATGATGATTTACGTATCTTCTAGCAAAGCATTTATAAGTGAAAAGTAACGAAACGAAAAATGGAAGCGATATTTTTATTAAAAGCTGTTACATTGATACGGTGATTACGTTTGTGATAATAACACCACCAGCAGCAAAAACAGCGGTAGCAACAATGATAACTGCAATGATAATTTCCAAACTATATCAATGTGTGTATCATGCTGATAGCAGTGATATTAACGATAGTAACGAGGATAAAAATTGTAATAACGTTGATGAAAATGATCATAAAGATGCTGATAATAATGATTACGATAATGATACTTCAGTATGAGGATGATGATGGTAATGACGATAGAATTGAGAATGTAGATAAGGCTGATGACAGTGGCCACAGAAATGTATGATAATGATCGTGATAAAAGTTATAATGTTAATAGTAATGGTAATGGATATTCACATTCATGATGATCATACAAAAGTGGTGAGGATTATAACATGGAGGAGGATATAGACGATGATTATGATGGCGAGAATAATATTGATGAAAGGAAAGACAATAAAAAGGGTCCTTATAGGTAATGATGAGAACAATGATAATGACAACAATAACAATAGCAGTGATAAAGATGGTAATAATAACTATAATAGTAAAAAAGGATGAATGATGATGTCAATGCTATAGGCCCGAACGAAGCTAGATTTACAAATCTAAATGAACTGGACTGTCAGTGATAATTACAATGTGATAACAATAACAACGATAAAGATGATATTATCAACAATAATGATAGAGTAATAGTAACAATAATGATTTCTATTATTGGTATTACAATTTTTATTATCCTCATTATTGTTGTCGTTATAACTAGTATCATTATCATCATCATTATTATCATTATTATTATCATTACTATCATTATTATTATCATCATCATTATGATTATCATCAGTAGTATCAATGTTAATGATGCATATATAACAATGCTAATAATAATAATAAGGATGATTATGATGATAATGACAATACCAATGATAATAACAACAGCAACAATAACAACAGTTACAAGTGTGGTCATCATCTTTATAAATAATTTAGTCCTACTTCAAGAGATAAAAAAACACACACACAAAAATGGCGTCTTATCACTTAGGCTTAGCGAAAGTAAGAATGGAAAAATTCACGACAAACATCACATCCTTTGTTCTCCTTGAGGGATGAGATGTTACGTCATATCTTGTTTTCTTATCTTCTTTTTCTTTGTGTGTATGTGTGTTTTTGTGGGCGTGGTGTGTATGTATGTATGTATGTATGTATGTATGTGTTTGTTTGTGGGAGGGTTTGTCACTGTTTACTTGTACTGTCATGTGCTGATAGTAAGATTAACAATGGTGATGATGATGATGATGATATGATGATAGTGATGGTGATAACGATGGTATGGTTAATTGTAGAAAAGGTATGAATGAGAATGAATATCTTCACAATACAAAAGGTGTATTTAACCGGTTCGTATTGCGAAGAAATTCATTTTTATTCACACCATTTCTACATTTGTCACAATGAAAACGGTGTGATAATGGTAATAATGGTAATGAGGATAATGATGATGATGATGATGAAGAAAATCATGATGATAATAATGATGATAATGATAATGATAATAACAATCATAGTAAGGATAACGGTAACGCTAATAAGAAATATAATAATGCTTCTAACAATAATGACAATGATAATGATAGAAATTATAATGATAGTAATAATTATAATAGTAATAACAATATAATAAACGTAATGATGATGACAATACTAATAATGATGATGATGATACTAATAACCATAATAATGATAATGATAATAACAACAACAACAATAATGATAAGAAGAATGATTATGATAATGATAACGATAATAATGATGACAACGACAATACCACCAACAACAATAATGATAATAATAATAAAAATAATAGCAGTAAAAATTATGATAATAAGAGTGATAGCAATAATGATAATAATGATAATGATAATAATCATCATGATCATTATTATCATTATTATCATAAAAGAAATGACTGTAATAATGATAATGAATATAACAATAACAATGTTAGTAATGACAATAATGATAATAATAATGATAATGACAACAATAACAAAGTGATAATGATAAAAGTAACAAAAATAATAGTGATAACAATTATGGTATCATCTGATAATGATAATGATAATGATAAAAATTATTATTATAATGACAATAACAACAGCAACAATGAGGATAATAAAAATGATCATGATAATGATAATAATCACAATAGCAGTAGTAGCAGTGGTAGTAATATAGTAATAATGACAAGGATAATAATAAGGATAATAATGATAATGATAGTAGTATCAATAATAATGATAGTATCAATAACAATGATAATGCTCATAACAACACAACAACAATAATGATAATACTACTACTAATAATAACAATGATAATGACAATAATGATAAAAATAATGATACTGATAGTAATAGTAACAAAAAGACGATAATGATAATAATTTTCATAATAGTAATGATAATAATGATAATAATAACAATAATAATAACAACAATGATGAAAATGATAATGATAATGGTAATAATGATAAGGATAATAAAAGCAACAGTAATAATAATGATGATAATAATAATAATAATAATAATAATAGTAACAATAATAATGAATGATAATGATGATGGTGATGATAATAAAAGTGATACTTTTAATGAAAGTAATTAGAACAACCACAATGATAATAATAGTGATAATGATAACATTGATAACAATGATAAGGATAATAATAATAATGATAATAACGATTATGATAATAATGATAATAATGATTATGATAATGATGATAATAATAATGATAGTAATAGTATTAATGATAACAATAGTGATAATATAATAACAGTAGTAATGATAATAATAATGATAATAATCATATCAATAATAATAATAATAATAATGATAACAATAACAATAATGATAACAATAATGATAGTGACAATGACAAAGATAGTTAAATCCATGAAAATAATGATAATGATAATGTTGATAATAGTTAATATGATAACAATGATAAAGGTAATACTAATGATAAGTTATGATAATGATACAAATTATAATGATAATAGTTATAACAATGATAATAATGCTGATTATGATAATGATAATGTTAAAGATTACAATGATTGTTAACGGGACAGTTAAAATGATAATATTCATAAAAGCAGAAAAAACTAATGATAGTCATCATAATAATAATGATCATAATAAAGGTAATGATAAAAGTAATAAAAGTAATCATAAGCATTACTATTGTTATTCAGATCATTAACATTAATGCTAGGGTTATTCTTTTCATTACTGTTATTATGATAATCTACATTGTTAGCATAGTTATCAATAATGCTATAATCATTATCATTATTTTCGTTACAATTATGATATTACTGTCATCATTCATATGCTTATCAAATTAACTGCTGTTGTAATGACCGTGATCATGGTACTTATATCTATGCTTCTCTTTGTGAATAAGATATATTTGCAAGACATATTATGTATACTGATGTATTAACACCAAATATACGCAGTAATGGTTTTCAAAATTCCCGCGCAGGAAGCTCGCCATTTTTGTTTACATCCGTCGTCTGCCTGTTTATGCATTTCTAACGAGAGTACTAATTATTGAACAGAAATAATTTCTCATTTTAAAATTACCCCATTATGTTTCCTACATAAAATAAGTAAGGCTCGAGAAGAAAATATAATCATAGAGAATTCTTGAATTCATTTAATATTTTTTCTCCGGCTTCAGAGTACATGATTTTTTGAGAAATGCTGACAGATGGGAGTTGTTGATGACGTTGAATGAGTGATTGTTGCTTCGAAAGTTTTATGAATTATAACTTTTCTTTGTCGCGACGTCATGGAGCTCTTCAAAACCCCAAAGGTAAGTCAGATTCCGAGGAGATAATGGAAGAAAATTAGATATGTGGTATCATTATACATTTCTGAAAAGGCTTGTGTTTTTAAGATAATGTCACGGATGTTCTCTCAAGGTGTTCTCAAGCCTTCGGAGATTTTGTTATTTTTGTTCATGATCATGATGGTTGAGAGCAATAAATTGTTTTAAACGGGGAAGGTGAAGTTGAATGTTTCACCTCGCCCTTCGCGTTTGCAAGAAGATATGACAGTTATATTGAAATTAATTCATGT